TAAAAGCCTAGCCGACCAGCCCTCAGTAATCCTAAACATCAACCTAGCATACACATGCATGAAGATGAGGAATTCTTTGGTCAACTAATGACTGAAAACTTGATTAGGTCTTTGGTGATAATAGGTGATAATATTGAGTAAATGAATCGTGTAAGCCTTTCTAAAGTGGTTTTTGGTTTTTGGGTAGTGTTGCAATTTTGCCAATCTAATCAAATTATCTCTCTTATATGGTTCTCAAAACATTTGTTTCGAGTGGGTTATTGTCCCCAGTTAACGAAGACCCCAGTTAACGAAGAGATCTTTGTGAAATTGTCACGTATGAAATTAAGTAGAATTGTGCAAGGGAATAGCTCCTTTGTTTCTCGAGAACAACAGATGAGAAATATATTTATTGGCTTAGTTTCTCGTTGTTTGAAGAAATGTAAATCATGTAGGATATCTCTATCTCGACACGCATGGATAAAGAAAAAACCCAATAACGGTCATATTTCACTAGGTCAAATGTAATCTCCATACTAGTTGCATCCTAAAAGGTTTTCCCACGATTCCGAGACGATCAGGTCAAGCTCGATGTTCTATGATATATTTTATTGTAACATAAACACTATATATAGGGAAAAAAAAATATAATGGACGTCAATCCTTTGTCATGCTGACACCCTTTTTAACATAAAATATCAAATGTACATGTTCTTATCAGAAGAACTATTCCAGATGATTCAGATGAACCAAGAGTAAAGAAATATTATGGACTAGGTTTTTCTTTACTTTGATGTTTGACTATTTTTGAGTGATTATTAGGAAGAACACACCTGGGTTAGTCATCAATTAAGGGTGGTTTAGTTCATTTTTTGAGGACCGTTATTGAATTTTAAAAGTTGCAAGTGATGGTGGCAATGGATTATATATTACTAATAATAACGTTGTATCTGAAAACACCCTGCAATATCTAAAAATCGATCATGCAACATTTATATTTTAAATAACAATATATTTTTTTATTNTATATTTATTGGCTTAGTTTCTCGTTGTTTGAAGAACTGTAAATCATGTAGGATATCTCTATCTCGACACACATGGATAAAGAAAAAACCCAATAACGGTCATATTTCACTAGGTCAAATGTAATCTCCATACTAGTTGCATCCTAAAAGGTTTTCCCACGATTCCGAGACGATCAGGTCAAGCTCGATGTTCTATGATATATTTTATTGTAACATAAACACTATATATAGGGAAAAAAAAATATAATGGACGTCAATCCTTTGTCATGCTGACACCCTTTTTAACATAAAATATCAAATGTACATGTTCTTATCAGAAGAACTATTCCAGATGATTCAGATGAACCAAGAGTAAAGAAATATTATGGACTAGGTTTTTCTTTACTTTGATGTTTGACTATTTTTGAGTGATTATTAGGAAGAACACACCTGGGTTAGTCATCAATTAAGGGTGGTTTAGTTCATTTTTTGAGGACCGTTATTGAATTTTAAAAGTTGCAAGTGATGGTGGCAATGGATTATATATTACTAATAATAACGTTGTATCTGAAAACACTCTGCAATATCTAAAAATCGATCATGCAACATTTATATTTTAAATAACAATATATTTTTTTATTTTTTTTCTTTAGGAGAGAGATAGAGGAAAGAGAAGAGAGAGGTAGGTATGAATTAGTGGAATTGTTTGACATTGGAGGTGTCACAGAGAAAATGATATTTTCGATCGCAATTTTTTTTTGATAAATTTTGTATAATTGAATCAAAATACATAAAAATTAGATCATTTTTTATTGTCGTTATGTTTTTATTAATTGATAATTTAACTTCTTAACTGTAATATTAAATAGATTTTTTTTTTTAACTCTTAAGAGTGATCCAATGATCAAATCCACTCTCTTGCAAATAAAATATCTTATCTTCGATACTTCTTACACCTCCTAAGAGCCAGTCACCCTTGTTTCTCAGAGGACATGTCTTTAAACTAGCTTGAGTTTCAGTGACTTACATAAAATTCGAGAAAGTAATCGGTACAAGTTTGAACACTTTGTAACAGAAAAAAAAAGATTTTTTGCCACAATTTCACCACTGTTGAGTAAATGCCGACTAGTGATGCTTTACTTGGTATTTACTTTAACTTGTAAAAATAGAAAGAGCAGCTAAATGGAGCTGGTTTTGTCTGATTTTGTAGGTTGTAAATGTAGTGATGTAAAGGTGAATGCCAACTTGGTTGGTTCCTTAGTACTGGTTGTCCTTCTGAGAGGTCGTGTTTTGTCAAAATTTGTTAAATTTCTTTCATAATTATATATGTCTTTACTCGTATCATGCATAACTATGCTTAACAGGTTCGTGTCATTTTTAATTACCAATTTATTTGTAGATCGTGTCATGTATAATTATGTCATAAATTCTCAACTAATTTATTTGATGGGTTTAAAAAATTCATCCGTTAACCACCCAAACACACTAAAAATAAACTCAAAAAGTTATTTATTCCAACCTTTACACCATACCTCCCATCTAAGGAAATGAGTCACTTCTCATTAATAAGTTGTGCAACTTCTCATGCTTGTCCATAAACACAAAATAGTGTAATGTTATCTTTCGTCCTAAACCTCAAAGAATTTCACTACGAGTATAACGTGGCTTATTGATAGTCACGAAATAATTAGTGTAAGGTCGTGGGACCTATTAATTCTATTATCCACGTTAATTTGAGATTCAAAATTTGATAACAATTTTGGTGAATGTAATATAATTGTCGCTTGGAAAGAGCTATGGACTTTTATTTTCACTTGTTTGGTGGCCAGCCTTGTGACAACTCTTGCTTTCTATGTACATTACTTACAGAACCTTACACAAAACAGTTCTCTTTGAATATCTGTACGATTGTCCCCTCTCTAGAACTACTGCCATCCTATAATACAAATTTGTCCACACTCGTAATTTTCTTGGTTTTTGTAATCTTATATATTTGACATCATGTTGAGATTAGTTAAACCTAAACCTGTCAGGTCATTGTTTTATATTTGTTTTCTGACTGTAAATATAATTTTAAACCAGATTTCCTTTTTTTGTGGTGGGGGAGGGGAATACCCACATGTCAAGATGAAACTTCCCCAAAAAAGAATTGAGAATCTTCTTAGTAACCTAGCAACTCATTGAAAACCTTCTGTCAATGCTACTATAAAGTTGTATTTAGTGCATAAAGCTTCTAGTAGGGTTTGAATAAACTAAGCAGTAAAAGAGACATAATTGAAGCATTAATCCTACACTGATTAAATTTTTAAATCAAATTTAGAACTCAAATAACATGACAGCTGATTTAAATTTCTTTATTTGGTGTCATGTCATTTGGGCCCTAATAAAAACTCAAAATAATATGTTGTCATGTCATTTAGACTCTAAATTTAGTCCCAAAATTTAGTCAGCATAACATTATTGTAATTGAAGTCCTTTACTGATCTCTTTTTCCTTTTTCCTTTATAATAATGTTAGATTGACCAAATTTTATGACCAAATTTAGAACTCAAATGACATGACAATTAATTTGATCTTATTTGATTGGTGTCATGTCATTTGAGTTCCAATAAAAATTTCAAATAATTACCTGTCATACCATCTGAATTTCAAATTTAATTCTAAAATTTGATCACAGTAATATTACTCTTTTTTTTATTTTTTTTTATCAGGCTGTTAGGGTGAAAAGGAGAGTTTGTGGTGGGCCCCATTAATATAACATGGCCCTTGCCAGGTCAGTTGACTGACAATATTTGGATTGTGATTGGGGCAGCATAGTATTAGGCGATCGGCAGACAGGCCATAGGGGATGGACAAATGGTGCGTGAATTCCTGCAGTACTCCTGGACCTAACAGGAGATGGACAAATTGTGTGTGAATTCAAACTAAACAGATTCTTCTTTGCTTGAGGATATTTTACACACATGTGAGTGAAAGATCTCACTTAATCTTATTAATTTGGAATATTCAGCTTTGTAACTGGCGCATGTGTCACACGCAAGAAAATATTCCAATGCCCTCGTCATCACTGATATGTGGTGTTATCATCCAATTAGAAGACTATAAATAAATAAAATAGATCCCCCATTATTTTCATAATTACTAATAACCACCACATCCAATCATCAACACACCATTTTATCTACTTGTGATCTTTTAATTGGAGGGTGTCGTTGCGTGAAAGTGATGATATGGTGTCACCGTTGCATTGAATATTTTTTCAATGACACACACACACTACTATGCATTGTATATAGTATGAGTAATATTATTTAGATCTAAAAATTTGACCTCATTTACTGACTTGATTTACTATGACATTTGGATTGACTGTGAACTCAATTCAATATTAAAACTTGCTTTTTATCCAATGATTCTAATGAAATAACATCATCATATCAGCAAAGAGTAATACTATTTGGACCTAACATAATTTGTTGATATAATGATGTGGTTTGATAGCATTCACTGGATCAACACTAAGTTTCAATGTTTGATAGAATATACGTTACAATGAATTAGGTCAGTAAATTATGTTAATAAATTAGGTCTTAATAGAATTGTTCGCAAAATCAATGATATCAAATTTTTAAGTCTAAGTATTCCTCATATATTATATTTACACATGTGACCTCTTACAAGGTTGAATATTCCAAACTGATAAGATTTAGTGACACGCCATACTTCATAAAATTTCTCCCCCAGTCATTGGTTTAGAAAAATCTTATGATTACCATTCTAATGTTATTTTAGTATATCTTTCCAGCCTTTCTTTCCGACCACAATGCAAGTCAACTAAAAAGTCTCTCTCTCTCTCTCTCTCAATTGTCTCTATATAATTGGTTGTAGTGTAAGACCCTACTATTCATTAACACACACCAAACTTGTAAGAGCATTGCAAATCCTTGCACAACGACATATTGAGACCTGGTGTCTTCCGGCAGTACTACTTGTGGTGGTGCTGGTTGATTGGCCAACATGAAGAGCCTAGTCGTCCAAGTCCTCACCGGACGGTGGTTCATGGTGTTCGCCTCCTTCCTCATCATGTCCGCCGCCGGCGCCACCTACATGTTCGGCCTCTACTCCACCGACATAAAAGACTCCCTCGGCTACGACCAATCCACCCTCAACTTGCTCAGCTTCTTCAAGGACCTAGGAGCCAACGTCGGCGTACTCTCCGGCCTCATCAACGAGGTTACGCCGCCGTGGGTGGTGCTCTCAATGGGTGCAGTACTTAACTTCTTCGGCTACTTCATGATCTGGCTAGCTGTAACCAAAAAAATTTCAACACCCCAAGTTTGGCAGATGTGTTTGTACATATGTATCGGAGCAAACTCTCAGGCTTTCGCTAACACCGGAGCTCTGGTCACCTGCGTCAAGAACTTCCCGGAGAGCCGAGGAGTCGTGTTGGGTCTTCTCAAAGGTTTTGTGGGTCTAAGTGGTGCGATCATAACCCAACTATTCCATGCAGTTTATGATAATGACACAAAATCTCTCATTCTGATGATCGGATGGATGCCGGCGGCGATCTCGTTCGCTTTCCTCCGAACAATTCGGATCATGAAAGTTGTTCGACAACCCAATGAGCTCAAAGTTTTCTACCATTTTCTCTATCTCTCTCTTGGTCTCGCTTCGTTTCTCATGGTGATCATTATTGTCGAAAACAGGTTTCGTTTTTCTCNTGGGTTTAAAAAATTCATCCGTTAACCACCCAAACACACTAAAAATAAACTCAAAAAGTTATTTATTCCAACCTTTACACCATACCTCCCATCTAAGGAAATGAGTCACTTCTCATTAATAAGTTGTGCAACTTCTCATGCTTGTCCATAAACACAAAATAGTGTAATGTTATCTTTCGTCCTAAACCTCAAAGAATTTCACTACGAGTATAACGTGGCTTATTGATAGTCACGAAATAATTAGTGTAAGGTCGTGGGACCTATTAATTCTATTATCCACGTTAATTTGAGATTCAAAATTTGATAACAATTTTGGTGAATGTAATATAATTGTCGCTTGGAAAGAGCTATTGACTTTTATTTTCACTTGTTTGGTGGCCAGCCTTGTGACAACTCTTGCTTTCTATGTACATTACTTACAGAACCTTACACAAAACAGTTCTCTTTGAATATCTGTACGATTGTCCCCTCTCTAGAACTACTGCCATCCTATAATACAAATTTGTCCACACTCGTAATTTTCTTGGTTTTTGTAATCTTATATATTTGACATCATGTTGAGATTAGTTAAACCTAAACCTGTCAGGTCATTGTTTTATATTTGTTTTCTGACTGTAAATATAATTTTAAACCAGATTTCCTTTTTTTGTGGTGGGGGAGGGGAATACCCACATGTCAAGATGAAACTTCCCCAAAAAAGAATTGAGAATCTTCTTAGTAACCTAGCAACTCATTGAAAACCTTCTGTCAATGCTACTATAAAGTTGTATTTAGTGCATAAAGCTTCTAGTAGGGTTTGAATAAACTAAGCAGTAAAAGAGACATAATTGAAGCATTAATCCTACACTGATTAAATTTTTAAATCAAATTTAGAACTCAAATAACATGACAGCTGATTTAAATTTCTTTATTTGGTGTCATGTCATTTGGGCCCTAATAAAAACTCAAAATAATATGTTGTCATGTCATTTAGACTCTAAATTTAGTCCCAAAATTTAGTCAGCATAACATTATTGTAATTGAAGTCCTTTACTGATCTCTTTTTCCTTTTTCCTTTATAATAATGTTAGATTGACCAAATTTTATGACCAAATTTAGAACTCAAATGACATGACAATTAATTTGATCTTATTTGATTGGTGTCATGTCATTTGAGTTCCAATAAAAATTTCAAATAATTACCTGTCATACCATCTGAATTTCAAATTTAATTCTAAAATTTGATCACAGTAATATTACTCTTTTTTTTATTTTTTTTTATCAGGCTGTTAGGGTGAAAAGGAGAGTTTGTGGTGGGCCCCATTAATATAACATGGCCCTTGCCAGGTCAGTTGAGTTACAATATTTGGATTGTGATTGGGGCAGCATAGTATTAGGCGATAGGCAGGCAGGCAGGCAGGCCATAGGGGATGGACAAATGGTGCGTGAATTCCTGCAGTACTCCTGGACCTAACAGGAGATGGACAAATTGCGTGTGAATTCAAACTAAACAGATTCTTCTTTGCTTGAGGATATTTTACACACATGTGAGTGAAAGATCTCACTTAATCTTATTAATTTGGAATATTCAGCTTTGTAACTGGCGCATGTGTCACACGCAAGAAAATATTCCAATGCCCTCGTCATCACTGATATGTGNAAGATCTCACTTAATCTTATTAATTTGGAATATTCAGCTTTGTAACTGGCGCATGTGTCACACACAAGAAAATATTCAATGCCCTCGTCATCACTGATATATGTGGTGTTATCATCCAATTAGAAGACTATAAATAAATAAAATAGATCCCCCATTATTTTCATAATTACTAATAACCACCACATCCAATCATCAACACACCATTTTATCTACTTGTGATCTTTTAATTGGAGGGTGTCGTTGCGTGAAAGTGATGATATGGTGTTACCGTTGCATTGAATATTTTTTCAATGACACACACACACTACTATGCATTGTATATAGTATGAGTAATATTATTTGGATCTAAAAATTTGACCTCATTTACTGACTTGATTTACTATGACATTTGGATTGACTGTGAACTCAATTCAATATTAAAACTTACTTTTTATCCAATGATTCTAATGAAATAACATCATCATATCAGCAAAGAGTAATACTATTTGGACCTAAAAATTTAACATAATTTGTTGACATAATGATGTGGTTTAATAGCATTTACTGGATCAACACTAAGTTTCAATGTTTGATAGAATATACGTTACAATGAATTAGGTCAGTAAATTATGTTAATAAATTAGGTCTTAATAGAATTGTTCGCAAAATCAATGATGTCAAATTTTTAAGTTTAAGTATTCCTCATATATTATATTTACACATGTGACCTCTTACAAGGTTGAATATTCCAAACTGATAAGAATTGGTGACACCCCATACTTCACAAAATTTCTCCCCCAGTCATTGGTTTAGAAAAATCTTATGATTACCATTCTAATGTTATTTTAGTATATCTTTCCAGCCTTTCTTTCCAACCACAATGCAAGTCAACTAAAAAGTCTCTCTCTCTCTCTCTCAATTGTCTCTATATAATTGGTTGTAGTGTAAGACCCTACTATTCATTAACACACACCAAACATGTAAGAGCATTGCAAATCCTTGCACAACGACATATTGAGACCTGGTGTCTTCCGGCGGCACTACTTGTGGTGGTGCTGGTTGATTGGCCAACATGAAGAGCCTAGTCGTCCAAGTCCTCACCGGACGGTGGTTCATGGTGTTCGCCTCCTTCCTCATCATGTCCGCCGCCGGCGCCACCTACATGTTCGGCCTCTACTCCACCGACATAAAAGACTCCCTCGGCTACGACCAATCCACCCTCAACTTGCTCAGCTTCTTCAAGGACCTAGGAGCCAACGTCGGCGTACTCTCCGGCCTCATCAACGAGGTTACGCCGCCGTGGGTGGTGCTCTCAATGGGTGCAGTACTTAACTTCTTCGGCTACTTCATGATCTGGCTAGCTGTAACCAAAAAAATTTCAACACCCCAAGTTTGGCAGATGTGTTTGTACATATGTATCGGAGCAAACTCTCAGGCTTTCGCTAACACCGGAGCTCTGGTCACCTGCGTCAAGAACTTCCCGGAGAGCCGAGGAGTCGTGTTGGGTCTTCTCAAAGGTTTTGTGGGTCTAAGTGGTGCGATCATAACCCAACTATTCCATGCAGTTTATGATAATGACACAAAATCTCTCATTCTGATGATCGGATGGATGCCGGCGGCGATCTCGTTCGCTTTCCTCCGAACAATTCGGATCATGAAAGTTGTTCGACAACCCAATGAGCTCAAAGTTTTCTACCATTTTCTCTATCTCTCTCTTGGTCTCGCTTCGTTTCTCATGGTGATCATTATTGTCGAAAACAGGTTTCGTTTTTCTCAGAGTGAGTATGGTGGTAGTGCAGCCACAGTTCTGATCTTGCTCTTTTTACCTCTAGCTGTTGTTATAAGAGAAGAGTATTATCTATGGAAGAAGAAGAAAGAAGCCATGGATAATCTTTCCCAGCTGAAGATCACAACAGAGTTGCCGAACACCGAGACTACGTTGCCTCCGCCACCAGCACCGTCGTCGTCTTCCACCGCCGCTACTGAACTACCCAGTTCCCCAAAGGAAGAAGCTTCTTGCTTCAAAACAATTTTCCAGCCACCTAATAGAGGCGATGACTTCACTATCCTTCAAGCACTCTTCAGCATCGATATGCTGATTCTCTTCCTAACAACAATCTGCGGAGTCGGCGGGACATTGACGGCCATAGACAACTTGGGTCAGATCGGAACTTCTCTCAGATACCCAACTCGAAGCATTAGTACTTTCGTCTCTCTCGTCAGCATTTGGAACTACCTCGGAAGAGTAGTCGCCGGTTTCGTCTCCGAAATCCTNGATGATATGGTGTTACCGTTGCATTGAATATTTTTTCAATGACACACACACACTACTATGCATTGTATATAGTATGAGTAATATTATTTGGATCTAAAAATTTGACCTCATTTACTGACTTGATTTACTATGACATTTGGATTGACTGTGAACTCAATTCAATATTAAAACTTACTTTTTATCCAATGATTCTAATGAAATAACATCATCATATCAGCAAAGAGTAATACTATTTGGACCTAAAAATTTAACATAATTTGTTGACATAATGATGTGGTTTAATAGCATTTACTGGATCAACACTAAGTTTCAATGTTTGATAGAATATACGTTACAATGAATTAGGTCAGTAAATTATGTTAATAAATTAGGTCTTAATAGAATTGTTCGCAAAATCAATGATGTCAAATTTTTAAGTTTAAGTATTCCTCATATATTATATTTACACATGTGACCTCTTACAAGGTTGAATATTCCAAACTGATAAGAATTGGTGACACCCCATACTTCACANATGGAAGAAGAAGAAAGAAGCCATGGATAATCTTTCCCAGCTGAAGATCACAACAGAGTTGCCGAACACCGAGACTACGTTGCCTCCGCCACCAGCACCGTCGTCGTCTTCCACCGCCGCTACTGAACTACCCAGTTCCCCAAAGGAAGAAGCTTCTTGCTTCAAAACAATTTTCCAGCCACCTAATAGAGGCGATGACTTCACTATCCTTCAAGCACTCTTCAGCATCGATATGCTGATTCTCTTCCTAACAACAATCTGCGGCGTCGGCGGGACATTGACGGCCATAGACAACTTGGGTCAGATCGGAACTTCTCTCAGATACCCAACTCGAAGCATTAGTACTTTCGTCTCTCTCGTCAGCATTTGGAACTACCTCGGAAGAGTAGTCGCCGGTTTCGTCTCCGAAATCCTGTTAACCAGATACCAATTCCCTCGGCCATTGTTGCTTACAATGACCCTTGTTCTCTCATGTGTTGGTCACCTTCTCATAGCCTTTGGTGTCCCAAATTCTCTCTACGTCGCCTCAGTAATAATTGGTTTTTGCTTTGGAGCACAATGGCCGTTGCTTTTCGCCATCATATCTGAGCTTTTCGGACTAAAATACTACTCCACACTCTACAATTTCGGCTCAGTGGCGAGCCCAATTGGGTCGTATATACTCAACGTGAGGGTTGCTGGACATCTGTACGATAAGGAGGCGAAAAAACAGATGAGTGCTTTGGGACTCACTAGGAAGCGTGGTGAGGACTTGAATTGCACCGGAGTGGATTGTTTTAAATTGGCTTTCATTATAATCACGGGGGTGACGGTGTTTGGTGCGCTTGTTTCAGTTATTTTGGTGGTTAGGACTAGGAAGTTTTATAGGAGTGACATTTACAAGAAGTTCAGAGAGGAGGCCAAAGCAGCTGAGACGGAGATGGCACTGGGGGAGAACGGCGTCATCGTCCGATCATCATCGGGGACGAAGGGGGGTTGAAGATTGACGAGAATATATGAAATTACAGGGTTTTTTTTTTGTTTTTTCGTTGTTATTGTTATTGTTGTTGTTGTGAGTTTGGAAAATTGAGAGAAATTAAGGAAGATTGGCTAAGTGATTCTTGAGTAAAATGGTCTCTTTGTTGAGTTTGTCCATTTCTTCATGCAGTGGAAATTTCCATATGCATTATTGAAAGATTACTACTAGAAAAAAAGCCAAATAATCCCCAATTGAACATGATGAGAGACTACATCAAACACCCTATTTGGACCTAATTCAGAGATCCAATTCAACGCAGTCATTAGACTAAAAATAGGTTTCAACACATCTAATAAAATGAGTTCCAAATTTAGTCACTATAACATTGTTCTTCTTAAAATAATTTTTTTTTTCTTGCTCGTTTTTCTAGAAAATATTTAATATAACGGCGATATTTTCCACTCGATTCATACGTTTCATCTCGTCTCCTACTTCTTGCCACTTTTAGATCTTGACCCCAAAACAATCTACCACTTCCTACTTCACCTCCACTCCCCGACGGATGAGTAAGGCTTGGCAAAAGAGCAATGGCATGACCCGGTAGCCCAAACCAACAAATCATGGGCTGGATGATCTTGCCATGTTATACCAGTGGCTCGTGGAAGTAAGGTCATCGGCCTCACTTTTGTCTCGTCTTCACCCGATTGGTGGGCTTGACCCAACTGTTAGCCCAACAATGGTCCACGAGGATAACAATCAATTTTTCAGAAAAAATTTCATATATGAAGTCTTTTTCTTTTTTTTTTTTGGTCAGAATATATGAAGTCTATTGACAGGATCCTCTCTTCACATTCCAATTTAAAAAGAGCAATGTTATATGGATTTAAAAAATAGACTAAATAATTAGATTTGATAATTAGAACCATTGATTTCACTGTAAGTCTCAGCATTTATTAGGACCCAATACTTATTCAATGGTTGAGATTATCAAATCAAATTTTTAAGTCTATATAACATTACTCATTTAAAAATTTTATGAAATTTGAAAAATATATATTTTTATTCAGAAGGTAAATAAGTTTATTAAACCAAAAAATTAATATATATAATGAAATTCAAAATACGTCAAAAAAAGGCCACACAATGTAATACTTAGAAAGTTGTTCCGTCTATACACCTAGTCTATAAATAAAATAATATTTAACAACCTGATATTAGTTACAAATACTAGAACAAGTCAATAAGTCCAATTGTACACTCTAAATACTAAGGAGGAGCCTTTGACCTCTCGACTATTATTGACCTGACAGTATTTACTATGCTCTTTGTGAAGTATGGCATCCGCAGACAAATACCTTTGTGACCAGTTGAGGAAACATTGGGATTTCAGTTTGAAGAAATGCGAGACAGAACCAACATTTCAGTCAATGATAAGTATTTTGAAAAAGTTATTTCAAGCAATATTATCATAACTGAACCGGCCATCACCAGCATTTCTTTCTTTTTCTTTTTTTTTTTTGATCAGACCTTTGAACAATCAGATAAAAGGGATATTTTTTTTATATAACAAGTGGAATTCGAACAGTCCAGTTTTAAAAAATCGACTAGTTCACAATTTTGACCAAAAACTGTCCGGGTTAGCGGTTTTGAGTTAATTCTATTCCTTAAGCGGTCCAACTAGAGAACCAGACCAATTTAAGGTCCCGGGTCACGGTTGAACCGGTCTAACCGTCTGGTCTGATCTGGTTTTGAAACACTAATCCCAAGCCTGATTGAATTGTAAAACTCCGACATCGACTCTCTCCCAAATACATGCTTGTATGTATTCAAGGCCTATGTCTTAATTGCTGGGAAGAAAGAGTACAGTTGCATTTGATATTCAAATTGACTGGACTTCTGGTTCAAAGGTAATACACGAGCTCTAGATTCTTGCACGACCAAGGAATATGTAGGACAGTCATGACTAATTTTTTTTGTCCAAATGGAGAATATATTACAACTAGAAGATTTGTAAGACCTATTATGGCAAAGTTGCAACTAGCATAGAAATTTGGAGGTTGCAGCTTATTTGGCCTTATGACTATGTCGTTTCGTGTCTCCTTCAAATGATTTCATTCGTCTAACAAATTTCAAGCCTGCTTCTCAAATGACCGTTGGAGTCACATATAGGTTAGTTCCTTCTATTGACACAAACATTTGTAGAGGCCTATCTAAGACCTACAGTATCCATNCGTTGCTTTTCGCCATCATATCTGAGCTTTTCGGACTAAAATACTACTCCACACTCTACAATTTCGGCTCAGTGGCGAGCCCAATTGGGTCGTATATACTCAACGTGAGGGTTGCTGGACATCTGTACGATAAGGAGGCGAAAAAACAGATGAGTGCTTTGGGACTCACTAGGAAGCGTNATGGTGAACAAAATGATCTTGGGTCAGGTTCTATTTTTGTAAGGTCATTTCTTTTATGCCTAGACGAGACTATATTTTGGTCGAGGAGTTTATGGTGAGATTGATGAAGGCGTTGGTCATCCTTTGCTTTGATGATTCAGGGGCAAGTTGAATGCTTACCATATTATGGGGAGGAGGCACAACAATATNTAAGAATTGGTGACACCCCATACTTCACAAAATTTCTCCCCCAGTCATTGGTTTAGAAAAATCTTATGATTACCATTCTAATGTTATTTTAGTATATCTTTCCAGCCTTTCTTTCCAACCACAATGCAAGTCAACTAAAAAGTCTCTCTCTCTCTCTCTCAATTGTCTCTATATAATTGGTTGTAGTGTAAGACCCTACTATTCATTAACACACACCAAACATGTAAGAGCATTGCAAATCCTTGCACAACGACATATTGAGACCTGGTGTCTTCCGGCAGCANAATAATTGGTTTTTGCTTTGGAGCACAATGGCCGTTGCTTTTCGCCATCATATCTGAGCTTTTCGGACTAAAATACTACTCCACACTCTACAATTTCGGCTCAGTGGCGAGCCCAATTGGGTCGTATATACTCAACGTGAGGGTTGCTGGACATCTGTACGATAAGGAGGCGAAAAAACAGATGAGTGCTTTGGGACTCACTAGGAAGCGTGGTGAGGACTTGAATTGCACCGGAGTGGATTGTTTTAAATTGGCTTTCATTATAATCACGGGGGTGACGGTGTTTGGTGCGCTTGTTTCAGTTATTTTGGTGGTTAGGACTAGGAAGTTTTATAGGAGTGACATTTACAAGAAGTTCAGAGAGGAGGCCAAAGCAGCTGAGACGGAGATGGCACTGGGGGAGAACGGCGTCATCGTCCGATCATCATCGGGGACGAAGGGGGGTTGAAGATTGACGAGAATATATGAAATTACAGGGTTTTTTTTTTGTTTTTTCGTTGTTATTGTTATTGTTGTTGTTGTGAGTTTGGAAAATTGAGAGAAATTAAGGAAGATTGGCTAAGTGATTCTTGAGTAAAATGGTCTCTTTGTTGAGTTTGTCCATTTCTTCATGCAGTGGAAATTTCCATATGCATTATTGAAAGATTACTACTAGAAAAAAAGCCAAATAATCCCCAATTGAACATGATGAGAGACTACATCAAACACCCTATTTGGACCTAATTCAGAGATCCAATTCAACGCAGTCATTAGACTAAAAATAGGTTTCATCTAACAAATTTGAAACACATCTAATAAAATGAGTTCCAAATTTAGTCACTATAACATTGTTCTTCTTAAAATAAATTTTTTTTTCTTGCTCGTTTTTCTAGAAAATATTTAATATAACGGCGATATTTTCCACTCGATTCATGCGTTTCATCTCGTCTCCTACTTCTTGCCACTTTTAGATCTTGACCCCAACACAATCTACCACTTCCTACTTCACCTCCACTCCCCGACGGATGAGTAAGGCTTGGCAAAAGAGCAATGGCATGACCCGGTAGCCCAAATCAACAAATCATGGGCTGGATGATCTTGCCATGTTATACCAGTGGCTCGTGGAAGTAAGGTCATCGGCCTCACTTTTGTCTCGTCTTCACCCGATTGGTGGGCTTGACCCAACTGTTAGCCCAACAATGGTCCACGAGGATAACAATCAATTTTTCAGAAAAAATTTCATATATGAAGTCTTTTTCTTTTTTTTTTTTGGTCAGAATATATGAAGTCTATTGACAGGATCCTCTCTTCACATTCCAATTTAAAAAGAGCAATGTTATATGGACTTAAAAAATAGACTAAATAATTAGATTTGATAATTAGAACCATTGATTTCACTGTAAGTCCCAGCATTTATTAGGACCCAATACTTATTCAATGGTTGAGATTATCAAATCAAATTTTTAAGTCTATATAACATTACTCATTTAAAAATTTTATGAAATTTGAAAAATATATATTTTTATTCAGAAGGTAAATAAGTTTATTAAACCAAAAAATTAATATATATAATGAAGTTCAAAATACGTCAAAAAAAAGGCCACACAATGTAATACTTGTTCCGTCTATACACCTAGTCTATAATAAAATAATATTTAACAACCTGAGACTAGCTACAAATACTAGAACAAGTCAATAAGTCCAATTGTACCCTCTAAATACTAAGGAGGAGCCTTTGACCTCTCGACTATTATTGACCTGACAGTATTTACTATGCTCTTTGTGAAGTATGGCATCCGCAGACAAACACCTTCGTGACCAGTTGAGGAAAAATTGGGATTTCAGTTTGAAGAAATGCGGGACAGAACCAACATTTCAGTCAATGATAAGTATTTTGAAAAAGTTATTTCAAGCAATATTATCATAACTGAACCGGCCATCACCATCATTTCTTTCTTTTTTTCTGATCAGACCTTTGAACAATCAGATAACACAAATTTAAATAATTGTAGAAATTAACACCACCACCATAACCAAGGAGAAAAGAAGAGTCTGAGAGAGAGAGAGATGACATAGATCAATTGAGTGGAGAAGGCCCAGATCTAGAAGGAATCAAGATCGAGTAGAGAACTGTTGCTGCTCGCTAGAGCTACGTCACCATGCTTGGAGTTATTCGTCGCCTAGAGGAGTGAAGAGGAAGTTGGAATGAAATTAATTTAGGGCAAAATGACCCAAAAAAATGGATATTTTTTTTTATATAACAAGTGGAATTCGAACAGTTCGGTTTTAAAAAATTGACCGGTTCACAATTTTGACCAAAAATTGTCCGACTTAGCGGTTTTGAGTTAGTTCTATTCCTTAAGCGGTCCAACTAGAGAACCGGACCAATTTAAGGTCCCAGGTCACGGTTGAACCAGTCTGGCCGTCTGGTCTGATCTGGTTTTGAAACACTAATCCCAAGCCTGATTGAATTGTAAAACTCCGACATCGACTCTCTCCCAAATACATGCTTGTATGTATTCAAGGCCTATGTCTTAATTGCTGGGAAGAAAGAGTACAGTTGCATTTGATATTCAAATTGACTGGACTTCTGGTTCAAAGATAATACACGAGCTCTAGATTCTTGCACGACCAAGGAATATGTAGGACAGTCATGACTAATTTTTTTTGTCCAAATGGAGAATATATTACAACTAGAAGATTTGTAAGACCTATTATGGCAAAGTTGCAACTAGCATGGAAATTTGGAGGTTGCAGCTTATTTGGCCTTATGACTATGTCGTTTCGTGTCTCCTTCAAATGATTTCATTCGTCTAACAAATTTCAAGCCTGCTTCTCAAATGACCGTTGGAGTCACATATAGGTTAGTTCCTTCTATTGACACAAACATTTGTAGAGGCCTATCTAAGACCTACAGTATCCATGGTGAACAAAATGATCTTGGGTCAGGTTCTATTTTTGTAAGGTCATTTCTTTTATGCCTAGACGAGACTATATTTTGGTCGAGGAGTTTATGGTGAGATTGATGAAGGCGTTGGTCATCCTTTGCTTTGATGATTCAGGGGCAAGTTGAATGCTTACCATATTATGGGGAGGAGGCACAACAATATCAAGATCTTTTTTCGTGGAAGCAAAAATTCTAATGATTTTTGCTAGCAGCCAATTACATACCGAGGAAGACATGGCTTCCACCATGGTGATGGAATGAGATCGATAGAGACCCTTAAGTTTACGATGATAAGTATACGACTTGGATATATTTCATACCATTATGGATCGATGTGCATCATCGAGATGTAAAACCCACGTCACTTTGTGAGGCATCATGGGTTTCTTCAAAGGATTTTGGGCACTCCTATACATTCATCAAAATTCTCGTGTGATGCTGTATCTTTATACCAGGCTTGGTTGACTTTAACCATGGTGAAGAGTGGAGTAGAATTTCATCTCCCTGGTCAATGTGCTCGGATTGATGATCTGTGTGAAGATAGCTCTGACAACTGGTGAAAGAATGATGTGTTTTCATACCTAAATAACATTGACTGTAGGAATTTGTTAGCTAAATTTTAAACTCAAAGCATATATTGTTGGGTCAAAGCAAGATAAAGCCCTATCTAAAGAGCTTGAAACGCTCTTATATCTTCGAAAACATGATGGTATAAAGGAAATTTTTAGATACCCATGATTAGTTAGCTCAAAAGATGTTAAAGATCATGATGAGACTCTCCTTACGGTCGACTACTGGTGGAGTTGCACAACTGAAAACCAGAGGTTTGATGAAGCGAACTTATCAGAAGATACTGATCATGTAATCCTTTTGTCACGTATGTTGCCGAATGTTTTCAGCAAAAAAATTTGGGCTCAAGTTTTGTGAGTACTCAATTCAATACTACTTGTAGGTTGATGACCCTAATTCTGTTAAACTTCAAGCAAAAGAGGGTCAAGCACAAAGGTTTAGAAGTTTAACCATGTTAAGCACATATTCGGACAGAAGATAGGCCACGTTATACTGTGACCTGAATCCCACAAGTAATATTGACTCTTTTGGTGATGCCTTGGATATTTTCTGTATAATATTTTATTGGCTAATAACCTTAACGAATAATTGTTATGTTTCAGATTTTCTTACTGAAGCTACTGAAAAATTAGCGAACCTTTACCAACAACTGGATAGACCAACAAAGAAAAACCATTATACAGAAAAGGAGAGCATAACAATTTAAAAATTAAAATCCGGCCATAGATTATCGAACCTCATAGACAAATATCTATCTCACTGCTCTTAAATTCTGGAAGCGACAACTTTACATGTTACTAAATTCAATCTGTTGATCAATTTAAAGAAATACAAGAGATAAAAAAAGAGGAAGTTAGAGTTTTATTGATACTGCATAATTCAATTGAATACAAAGAAGTAATTTAACCTAAATACAAAGAGACTATATATAAGCTAAACAAGACATGAAAAGTAAATGACTATTCTATCCTTAATAAACAAAATAACCTTATATTTCTTAACATCTCCCCTCAAACTCACGATGCAGCAGCGACAAGCATCGAGAGTTTGCCAACTAGGAAACGAAAACGAAAAATAGAATGCGACTTAATAAACAAATCTGTAATCTGCAAAGAAGAAGAAACANTTTTTTGGTCAGAATATATGAAGTCTATTGACAGGATCCTCTCTTCACATTCCAATTTAAAAAGAGCAATGTTATATGGACTTAAAAAATAGACTAAATAATTAGATTTGATAATTAGAACCATTGATTTCACTGTAAGTCCCAACATTTATTAGGACCCAATACTTATTCAATGGTTGAGATTATCAAATCAAATTNCTCAATGTACTTAGTTCGTTCATGAAAAACCGAGTTGTGAGCAATCTGAATAGAACTCCGGTTGTCACAATACATAGAAGTGGGATGAGAAAGAGAAACTCTCATATCTGCAAGTAACCAACATNATGAAATTTGAAAAATATATATTTTTATTCAGAAGGTAAATAAGTTTATTAAACCAAAAAATTAATATATATAATGAAGTTCAAAATACGTCAAAAAAAAGGCCACACAATGTAATACTTGTTCCGTCTATACACCTAGTCTATAATAAAATAATATTTAACAACCTGAGACTAGCTACAAATACTAGAACAAGTCAATAAGTCCAATTGTACCCTCTAAATACTAAGGAGGAGCCTTTGACCTCTCGACTATTATTGACCTGACAGTATTTACTATGCTCTTTGTGAAGTATGGCATCCGCAGACAAACACCTTCGTGACCAGTTGAGGAAAAATTGGGATTTCAGTTTGAAGAAATGCGGGACAGAACCAACATTTCAGTCAATGATAAGTATTTTGAAAAAGTTATTTCAAGCAATATTATCATAACTGAACCGGCCATCACCATCATTTCTTTCTTTTTTTCTGATCAGACCTTTGAACAATCAGATAACACAAATTTAAATAATTGTAGAAATTAACACCACCACCATAACCAAGGAGAAAAGAAGAGTCTGAGAGAGAGAGAGATGACATAGATCAATTGAGTGGAGAAGGCCCAGATCTAGAAGGAATCAAGATCGAGTAGAGAACTGTTGC